TCAATACAAAAATGTTTTAAAATAAATAGTCATAAATGCATATCAGAAAAATCGATAAAATTTAGTTTAATTTATTTCAAAAGGGCTATGTGGAGTTCTCGGGAAAACTCGCAAGAAACTCGCAAGAAACGAAAAATTCTAATAAAATGACGCACAAGAAATGGAAAGGAATTTATCTTCTATTTATTCAAATTCCTTCAAAAAAATTTACATCAACAGCAAAATACTTTTTCAAGCAACAGAAATAATGAAAAATAATTCTTGCCACTTCTCTTGGGGACTGCAGCCAGCCCTTTATTTATGTTGCTTGCAAAAATATGTATGTAGTTATTTTTGGCTGTACATTTTCTTGATGAAATAAATAATAAGCGTTTTTTTCTTGAGAGCTGGCAACTGATTTAAGAAGTTTTGGTAGAAAAAAATTTCTTTTCCATTTCTTATGAGTACTTTTATATGAATTTTCCGTTTTATTTGAGAGTTGCAAACAGCCCTCAATCTTTGAAAAACCTTTAATTATTTCAATGTCACATTTCCCTATACAACTTATTTAAAAAAAAAATGTATGTTAAAGTTAAATTACTTTATATTTTTTTATTATCCAATTTCGGTCTATGATTAAAAGATATACATAGTTATAAACATTCGAAATGTATTTCAATACACCCTCTTTGCGAAGTCTATGTCTATTTGTTCCATCGTCAACACGTAATCATTTGCATAGATATAAATGAGACATTAGACTGTCTCGAAAAAAACATAGTGGTTTTTTTAAGGCATATTACCTACTTTTTATTGGTTTTGTCTTAAAAACTATCCGAATAAAATTTTATGCAATTCGGACTGCGGCAGTCAAAGTTATCAGAACAAGCTTTGTGCCGTTCGGATGTTTTGTCAATTTACACATTTTACTTCTGTTTAAGACGGTATTCCTATGCTCCCTAGAGTATTAGGGCATATTTAGTAAATCCGCGTTTTTGGTTTTTTATCAGGTAGTCAGGATTTTTTCCAAAGGACCATAAATGGCCTATCAGCAGTTTAAACCAAAAACACTTTTTTATGTTGAGCCCATCTGAGACTTAACTGTCATCACTGATTTCAATCTGAACTTTGAAATTCAATAGTTAATTCTTCTAACGGGGATTTTTCACAAAATATGGTGCTAAATGAAAGATGAATTCGAAGCAAATTTAATTACATATAAATTTTGTTTTCATTTAATGCGTGTAGAACAAATGTCAAAAATGTCCTTTAAAAATATTATCCTTTAAGATTTTAAATTTGGAATGCATTTTGAAAAATCTTAGTTTTATTCAAATCATATGAATGTATATAAGGACATTAAAGTATAAAAATTTCAAAGAATATTTTTCAAAAATTGCAATCCTGCCATCCTATTAAATATTTAAAGATGCAGATTTACTAGACACATATAGAATTTTTCGCATTTTCATAGTTTTCATAGACTATTTGTTAACCTTAATTAACTTCAACTAAAAGTTGGCATATGTTATCGTTATTCTACGGCCATAAAACTTCTTATATATGTTATTTAGGCTAAAAAGTACAAATTCGGAGGGTATGCGCACCAAATTTTGTAAGAAGGCGACCCCTTATATTCGGCCATAAACAAAGTTTATCGAAAGTGCTTTGCAAAAAATCGTTCGACTCAGGGTAGGCGGCGAATTTTTTTTTGTTCTTGCCTGTAAGGTGGTACAATCTAATGTACATATGTACCCATTGTATGGCAAGTTGCGCGTGTGCAATAACTATAGTTCGAGTATGAAGAGTTGGATGCAATGGCATGAATGCAAAACCCCATTACGTAGTAGTACGTACTTACGTATGTAAATTAGTATAATTCTTTGATAATTATTAACATATTTACTTTGCTTGGAAGGACAACAGCCGGGGTTAATATCCTGCAGAAGATGTACAATGTAAACTTATGTGAATGAATAATTATTATAATTGATACGTAATTTTAAAATTACGATCGATAGAGAAAAGATGTAAATATGCGTAGAAGACAAAAATGTAATAAATAATTTAAACGACAATTAAAGCCAATTCTATTACAAGAAAATTTTTAGCTGTGACAAAGAGACTGAACTGTTTTCTCACTACAATCAATTTGCCAGTAAACCGCGACGTACAAAGATCAGTCAACTAACGGCTTGTAAAATACAACTAAGCTTTGAAGTAAAGCTTTTTTCACGCGCTTTAAGCTCGTTTATTAATAAACTGGGCTTGAGTATAAAAAGGAAGGTCAAAATCTAACGCAGCGACATCTTTCGTCAACAGCAGCTAGCTCACTTTTTGTTAAGCTTACAATTAGCAGTAAAAAAAGCCCAGCTTAAACCGATGTCGCAAGTGTTGAATCAGCTAGCAAGAAAGTTTAGTCAAAGTCAAGTTAGTAATAAACTTGAGCATACGCGCATTGTTTGCTGCATAAAAGTTAAGCTGATCGCTGATTTGCTGAATTTCATCCCATGTGGAAAATAAATGCGATGCTTTAGCCTGCAAAAACTCCTCCATATTTATTGCTGCATATATATGTAGATGCTAAGTTGCTTTAAGTATTTCTCCAGCCTTTTTTTATTTAATACTTGGATGCATAAATGTCAAAGATAATTTTTGATGAATTTTGGTCAAAACTTGTCCTTTATCATAAAACGAAGTTCTACAAAAGGAAAAAATTACATTTTTGAGAAAGTTTTACAAAATTCTGAACTTCACAATTTCCGAGATTTTGCCAGCTAATTTTTTTAAGTATCTCATAAATGTTAAAAAACTGGTTCTGGTATTATTTTAAAGTTGATATTTAGGGTTAAAAAGAAAATATTAATTAAAAAAAAGATTCGAAAAATACATACAGAATTTTGAATTCGAATAATTCGAAAAAAAAAATAAAATTTGTTAGCTACTTCTTGTTATACAATAACTCCAGCTGAACGTTAATTTTTAAGAAGATGTTTTTTAAAGATATGAACTTTTGAACTATGAATTTTTTTTTTCAAAGTTATGCGCAATCCTACATTTTACTATTTCCCTGGATTTCGCAAAAAAGATTACAAAAATGGTTTTGGTCTCTGATAATTGGGGCTTATGAAAAAACAGCTCACTAAGAAAGTTCGCAAAATAAAAAAAATTATGGAGTTTTGAAATTACAAAAAAAACAATGTAAAAGTAAAAAACTTGTTGGCTATTTTTTTTTATACAATACCTCCCACCAATCTTAAATAGATCCTCGCATTTTCATAAAGGTGTTTTTTAAAAAATATGAAATTTCGAACTTGCTTTAGCAAACTTTAAATAAAGTTATGTTTTAAAAAATTAGTATTTAATTATAATTTATTTTTAATTTATAGATTGCCAATTTTTTTTTAAATTTAAGCCCTGTTTTGATTTATATAGTATTGAACAAAAATCACAACGTACTCATTTCTGCAAATATTTTTTATGAATTTAAAAAATTATACTTAATTTAAAAAATGGGTGGTAAGGTTTGCATGACCACAAGTATACCTCCAAAAACCTTATTATTTTGATTTCGTTTTGGTTTAAAATGTTCTATCATCTGACGAGATCTGTTAAAAAAGAAATATTTTTGAAAACTAAAAATTCGATTTATTGCAGATAAATTTAAATCGGTACAGCTCACGTAAATATACATTTTTTGGCGAAAGTCATACGGCCTGTTTCAACAGCAATTTAAATGAGAAATAATAAAAAAAAATGTTTTCATTTAAATTGATTTCGTGAAACTAAGCTTTAGAAGATCTTTATTATTTTAGGTCCGATGGAAAAACCATACCGAATTTTTTTGCATGAAGAGTGATGCGCCTTAACGTACATATAAATAAGCTACACTTTTGAATAAAATTGTTTCATATCGACTTCCACAATTGGTTTGCAATCTCAACTTATTGTAGCGATTATCCGTCCAGCTCATAAAAAATATGTCAAGGCCACCAGGGTGTAAATGCTATAAAAGAGCGCCAACACCACAGACACGACATCTTTTTCGTCATATCGCAACAAAATTTTACAATTTTTCTCTATGCCGCAATAACCTTACCAGTATACCAGTGTGTACGAGCATACATTTTGTTGCATGAACCAATTGTGTGCACCAAGGTCGATCTTTTATGCTCAAAAAAAAAGTTGATTTCACCAAATTGCATAAAAAGTATGTTTTGTCTGAGAATTCTGCAAACGCCACCAGCACCCACAATATGATAAATGCCTGTGAATATGTTGCATGAACGGAGCAATAGCAAACCAAAAAAAAAAAAACATTCACAAATAGCTACAAAGCAGTGCTTAAATCAGACCTACGGCAGACGGCGGTTAAAGTCTGCAGTCAGCCCATTGTTGCCAACATTGGGTTATTTGCTGGTGCTTTGGTGAGTGGGCGGTGTGGGTGCTACTCAAAAATACAATAATACTTAGCACATTGCTGTATGCCGCAATGAGGGCACAGCTGCCTTGTCAATATCTACAAGTAATAAACACAAATATTATCGCAGCAAAGATTTTCTAATTTCAAATTATTATTTACATTGTTCGCCTATTGATTATGCAATTCTTCGATTTGTATAATTTATTCTTAATGAAACCACTGCATTTTCCTACGCATATTAAGAAATTATTGGAGCGTTAAATACCATTTTACAGTACTACTCTGTGTAGTACTTTGCTACAAGCGGCATACATTTTTGTTGAACTTTTAAGTTCGTTACAGAAGTCTTTCGTTCAATAAATGCGCAGCTGACTATTTAACCATAACGCTGCAGACATTAAATTAGTTCTAGCTCACCATAGCGCGCTTGCGCTGCCACCGTCTGCCTTGCTAATAAACGGAACTATGCTTGACTAAATCCAACTTTGATAGTTCTACTCGCAAAATAATCGAAATTATACAACAAACTCTTTGGTCGTTATAAAAATTGTACTTTTTTTTTTAATTCCTTTTAACAATTTATTAAAATATACTTAAAAATACACTTAGCATCGAGTACACGAATCAGACAAATTGCGGAAAAAATCTCAGCGGAAACAAACTCACTGGTTGTTCAAAGTCAAAGCGGCTCAACTCCTCACTGCTCACTCACTCCCATAGCTTAGTTTTCATTTATGCCACCACGCCCCAAGTGAAGACTATAATCAGCCTGCATTTTAAGCTCCTCCCAGTCTGCCAAATATACTTTTTTGCACATAGAATTATAGCTCATTATCCATTTTCATGTCCTTGTTCAGCACGATCCATCTCCTGCGATTTCCTTACTTATGCAACAAACCATGTCCGTAACCGTAATTCAGCCCATAGCCCAGTGAACCATGGTATGCTGGCGCCGCATATACGGCTGGAGCAGCATGCACTATCGGGATAGCTTTAGTGGCCACTTTGTAGGTATTGGCATAGGAGGTGGCCAATGGTGCGGCGATAATTGGAGCGCTGTAAGTCTTCACAATTGGTGCTGCAGCAACAACGGTGGGTGCATGATAGGCTGGCGCCACAATGCCACTGTAACCACTGTAGCCACTGTAGCCACCGTAACCCAAACCATGACCACTGAGACCATAACCGCCAAGTCCATAGCCACCCAAGTAGCCGGCGGAAGCGACAGCGCAGAGCGCAGACAAGGCAATGATCTGAAAAAATAATAACAATAATAGTAATAATAATTAAAGACAAATATGTAGTTAAAAAAATACTTTAAATGGGCCCTTTTCAATAAATCGTAAGTAAGTAGTTTGGATAGGCGTTGAATTTTTTATAAATCTTCATGCAAAAATTTGGGGTATGAGTCTCTGTTGATTCGCGAATGAAAAGAAAATATGGTCCTCTGACTTTGATTGGCCTAAGCACGCACGTGACATAGGGCGCTCCAAGGAGCGTACGCTTCAGTGGTCGCAGAGCCGAAAGGTCTCTAGCCTAAGTCCAAGTGAGTTCTCCCCTGCGCGGTGAGGTCTGCTATACCAAGTCTGGCGTGCTGGATCACAACTTTGCATTTATTAGTGTAAGTGAGTTTTCTATTTTCCGCGGACAATGCAACTCATGCGACGCCCTTGTGCTCACAGTTAGCTAGGGTATACAATTGTCGATAATACTGAGTGTTAAGATATTCGCTGCTCCTAGGATAGCCAAATGACTTGAGTTCTCTCGATCCATAAGCCGGCTTCTTAACGTATAAAAACGACAACCTCTCGAGCAATTACATTAAGCGGAAGTATTTAGTTGCAAAATTTTGATTTAGGGCTTCTGCGGGCGAGAATCAAATTGTCCCACTATATTGAAATTGGACAGAAAATTGTTAAATATAAAATATATAAATGATAAACCTATTCCCTGGTTGCAAAATTCCGCTACGGATTTCTTAACGGGTTCCACTATGTTGCCATTCCAGAGCTGCTTTCAGTCGAGAATTACTCTTAAGAACTTGGTCTTATTTTTGAAAATTAGTTTGGAACCTTCTTATTTCATAGGTGGTATAGTAGGCGACAATTTGTAATCGGCAGTAAGTCCTTTTATGCCTGGCATACTACTAGTTACTTAAGTTGTATTCTTTAGTTCAAAATAATCTCTCCATTACTGAGGCCAAAGAATTACAAACCTCTTATTTTACGTCGGTCTATAAATTTTTTTTTTTTTTATGTTGTGCTTGCTAATGTTTATAGTTGAGTAAATAACACATATTTAATTCATAGCTAGATTTGTGAAATCTGGCGAACACCTTGACCAATCCTTCAATTGAAAACACTCTTTAACTATGACTACTAAATCTTTAAAGCAACACTTTAGACACTTAAAGCCCGGCTTACAAAAGGAAATTTAGCTATATATTTGCGATTTTTAATTCACTTTGAATTAAGCTAGAATTTTAGATACTACAGAGTGTACGAGTATCTAATAAAATTTTGTTTTATCTCAAGTTAACAGTATTTTGGGGAGGTAACGATTTACCAGATTAATTAATTGGATGCAAAAATAGTATTCTCGAAGGTATGACTAGCAACTGTCTTTTAAAACAAAATCCCATTTGGCACTCCAAGCACATTCACTAAATTTCTGCTCGAGTTCACACCAAAAATCACAATTAATCCTTTATTATCCTTTCCTTGCTTACCAATTTGAACATGTTGATTTAAGTTAAGTTTTTTAAGCGCACAACTTCCACTAGATATTGTTAACCGCAAATTTTGTTATGTCTTTCCACCGCAACCGTAGCCGATATTTATACACAAAAATCAGAAAAATTCTGACAAAGTTGCGCGGAAAGCGAAAACACGCGCCCAAATACAATTGCACATAGAGCAATACAACAAAAGAAAAATTGGCATATGAAAAGCGAAAAGCCAATATATGACAAATGAAGACAAAAGCCGCTATTAGAGCATTAGCTCAATTAAATACTTCAAAGAAATATGTACTACAAAACTAAAGAGAAGCAATAGCAACAGCAACAGAGGTTTCAACAAATGCCAACAAAATAAAAAACGCCCTGACGACGCGCAGCACATCAACAACATCGACGGCCATCAGCTGTTGTACAACGTACGTAAGTAGCTTGAAAGCGAAGGGGTTGCTTTGCCGTGGAATAAAATTAAAAAATAAATAAATAAATAAAACAAAAAAACGAATGCGGATAAGGTGGATAGAACGTGCAAGCCTGCACTCAATAAGCCACAAGCTGCCGGCTCTAATGGTGAGCAGAGAGTTGTGAACTCTCAGCATTAACAAAACAATAGCACTCAGCAAAGCTAAGGTAGTGTTAGCTCTCCGCCAGCCACTCGGCATTGGCGATCATGGAAGTTATTGTGCTGAAGCACTGCTCTATTTTGATGGTAATTTTATTGGTTTTACTTATTTGTTGCAGCACTATTATGCTGAATAATTTAGTTCAATTAAATTTTTATTTTGACTTCGCCATGTAGCGTTTTGTATTAGTTAAATGAAATATCCAAACAAAAATTATATTTCAATCAAAAGTGGTTAATTTTGCATAAACGCACCGGAAATGTTTTAATAAATTGTTTCCAAATTTGATCTTACACTTAAACTATAAGCTACTTTTTACGTCATTCTAAAGATAAATAATTCGCTTTTCAGCATTTTTTAAAACCTTTTGGTATACACGCTTACTCCATTGAAAGGAGGGCCTGGTCCTGGACTTATTGCTTACGCAGATGACGTTTCTGTAAAACTTATTAAGCGGAAAGAGTCTGTCAACACTTATGTAGCTCTCTCATGTGCTAATCCCTACCGCAGATACGCCTGTGGTGTTTAGCATCAACGCTGGGAAACATAAGATTAAGAACTGGTCAAAACTAAAGCTGCCATATGGGGCGACTCTTCAGATGGAGCAAAGCTCCGAGTTCGGAATAATACTCGATAGCAAACTGTTGTGGCGCCTTAATGTGGAAAAGAGCGCCAAAATAGCCTAATTGGTGCTCTACGCTTGCAAAACGATGCTGGGTTGCAACTGGGGATTTTACGCCACCTCTTTCGCACTTAGTCTTTACTGCAATGGTCAGGCCGATACTCTTCCACGGGTTACTGGTTTTGTATTCGTCAGTTGAGAAGAAAAGATTTCTTACTCCCTGTTGGCGCTTGTTTGAGGATCAGCGTCCACACAGGCACGTCTGAAGGCAACTTTTCGAGTACATAAATGAAGTGCAGACTTACATTGACCAACCACTGAACCCCTAATAGAAGCCCAACTGTTGCTGGCTCAGAGTTCCGACTTCCGCGTGAGACCTGCGTCACTCTTTCCCACCTAGTTACGGTATAGCTATTGCTGGCACAGAAAAAGCTACTAATTAAGACTCGACCTTGATATCCCCAATGAATGTCCGGCATCTGGAGACTCCCTCTCGACAACAACCATCTAATCACATGTCGACTCACACCTACTCAGCTAACGCCCTTCTCTCCCTCTAGTTAAACCCCGTATAAACACGGTTCGTTCACAGGGCCTACCAGTAGTTGAGTCTGACGAAAACGATTGATGGACAAACCAACTTCGACAACAACAAAACATTTATTAAAAGAATATAAAGTATACAAAAAGGCTATCTATGATGAGCATGATAGAGGTACTTAGGGAAACAACAAAAGTAGCACCTTAATTCATATTTCGTTGGTAGACATATCGGCCAAAAAATATGTCTTCCAAAACTGTAATCAGGCACAGTTTGGGTGCAGGTTCACGGTCACAATAATATAGCGTCAACTCTATCTGTACAGATCGAGTACATGATTCCAGATAGGCACTTTGAGACAAATTTCGGATCCACTATAGCGGTCGAAGCCTGGCGTGCGGGCAAGAGGTATGCTGACTCTGTGAAAGTCTAGTCATATCGAAGATGCAGTGAAGGATGTGGGTGCGGTAATATTTTGCGCAGAGCTCGGTGCTAATAAGTCCTATAAGTTGTCGAACCACTGCAGCATCTTCCAGGTACAAGTATTATCTATGAATATGATGCCGGAATTATCGGGCATTAAGCGAATAAATAAATGGTTGAACCTCTATAACACACAGCTTACCTAACCTTATCTTATTTTCAATGCAATAACCGGTAATCGATTGCGCATGCGCAAGATTCGATGATTATCTTGTGACGATCTATATATATTTTTTTTTTGTTATTTCAACTTCCATAAAATCTATGCATTAAATAATAGTTGGTGCATTAAATGAGATTTCTTTGCAATACTTTTCAAGCTTCATTACAGTCAAACGTGGTGTAGTGAAACCCCTCATCGTGTATACCCATTTTCTGACAGGATTATTTAAAAAAGCAACCGTTTTACTTTTTCAAAAAATATATAAATAAATAAACACACAAAAAAATTACGTTTTAACAATGGTTTTATTTCGTTTTATTTAATATATTCAGGCATGATGTCAGTAACAGCATTTAGTAATTTCCTTTCACTTTTTATTCATATACATACTATTTTTTTGTAATATTCTTTAAACATTTTCAATTGTAAGAATTTTTTGTTATTTGCCAATATGTACGAATACTAAATACGTATGTAAAAATGTATTTCACAAGTACCTGTACACATGTACGCTAATTGATTTAATTACTCAATTACTTAAAACTCAACACGAAGGCTATTGAATTCCACACTGACCAGGTATATATGAGTGTACATACATACATACATTGTACATGCATAGGCATGTAAAAATGTCTAAACATGCATGCGTATACCTTTAGTTAAATATTTGTATTAATATATTCATTGAAAGGAGGGTACTTGCGTAAATGTTAAAAGGAATCGCTTAAGAAACAATAAATATAATTAACTTTTTTGCACTTCGTACTTTTTGGGTGCAATGGAACGGAATGGCGCCTCAGTTCTTTTGTTGGTTACTTAAGCAAGACATGCATAGCTGTAGGCTGATTTCTTAATGAGCAATTACCCACCATGCTAAACATGAGAAATAGGCAACAATCGTCAGTGGCAACAAATTGGCGACTCACCGCTTTATTGCTGTGGTGACAAATCGGCACCATCATTTCTTTCATGTCAACTTTGGAATAAAGGAGTTATAAAAAATTCCCACACTCATAAATTTCGCATCAACAGTATTATCCAAAATCGCAAAATCGTCTAATTTTTACCAAGGACAGGACTGAAAAAATAGGAAGCGTCGTAGCGAAAGAAAAAATTAATTCCGTTTCTAAGTTCCAATTTTGTATACAAAACAAAGTAAGTGCGCCTGGGCCACAATGGAGAAGTGAAACTTCCGTTACATATCTATTTTGTCATATACATGCATATATCGATAAATATTGTAACAAAATCGATAAATATCGATAACAAAATTGATAAATATCGATAACAAAATCGACAAATATCGATAACAACATCGATAAATATCGATAACAAAATCGAAAAATATCGATGACAAAAGCGATAAATATCGATAAATATCGGTAACAAAATCGATAAATATCGATAACAAAATCGATAAATATCGATAACAAAATTTATAAATACCGATAACAAAATCGGTAACAAAATCGATAAAAAATATTGCTAACAAAATAGTTAAAAATACCGACTAAAAAATCGATAACAAAAATCGATAAAAAATATCGATTATTATATCGATGAATTCCCAAAATATCGATAGCAAAATTGATAACGATATCGATAAAAATTTCGATAACAAAATCGATAAAAACATCGATAACAAAACCGATAAAAATATCGCTTATTTTATCGATAAGTCTCGAGAATCGCGAAAATCTCTAAAAAATCTCAAAATAGTTCCCAGATTAAGTCTCTGTGTCTCTCTCTATATCCTTTCCTCATTAATTACCTTTATTTTAATCTTTCTTCCTCTATCTTCATTTAACTTTTATCGGTATCCTCATCCTCATCCTCATCTTTTGTTTTTACTTTTATGTTTATCATTTTCTTCATCTACATATTCCCCTTCACCTTTTCCCTTATCTATATATATAAATGTGAATGTCTGTTTGTTTATTACCTTATAACTTCTGAACCGCGGCACGGAATCGCACGAAACTTTGCACACTTATTTGGTTTTACCCCGGGAAGGTTATAGGCAAAAAGAAAATGTTAAGTAATGGAAAAGAGGGCGTTGCACCCTTATACTAACTAAAATTTTCATGTTGTATATCTCTTGAAATATTTGTGGAACTTGCTGTCGAGATAAATAAAATTAATTCCATACTCATGGGAAAATATGGGCGAGATTGGAAAAGGGGGCATGGCACCTCCCATAGGCGTGAATTATTTAATCAGCTATAACTTCGGAACCATAAGTCACATGACATGTTTAACTCCTGAAGTTATCTACTAGTGTTCTGCAAAAAACTAGTATGTTTATATCGACGGCAGAGTGGAATATCGGCCTATTTCAGCAGCCGGTTCTCAAACGCCCTATCTCAAAAACTTTTCAAAAATTAACTACTTAAACAGATTCTTAGCGCTATCAGAAAAACTCCAATCGCACTACCCAGCTTATCCCTAGAAACAAAACAAAATGTGCTGAAAAGCAAAGCAGTTCTCTTCGTAAATTGGAAAGGAATGTGAAGCCAAAATCCAGTGTGATGTTATTACACAAACAAGGAGAAGCTCGGTCAAACACTAACTACATCTTGTCCAGGTTGTGCTTGCACTTAGTCACATGCAGCGGAATCGGCACATATTTAACCTCTGTC